CCCCCCCCCCCCCCCCCCATTCCTCTGACATACATCATGAACGCAGCCTTACAAACAACTCTTAACATATTTTTCTCGTCCTCAAAGGAACAACATACGAAGATCTCGAGAACCTAGCAGAAGCTCTAAAAGTTGGCCTTGCCGAAGGTATCATCGTGGATATGTACATGGCAGGATTTCGAACAGACTTGTTCAACGGTTCATGGTACAAAGTTTCCAGCATATTGAACGAGAAGTTCTATTATGGTGTTAACATAGGAGGAGGTGCAGCTAGGCTAGCAAAGAGGTTCCAGGAGTATGCCACTACGACATATGAAGTAGAGATCAAGTTACTTCAAGAAGAACGAGAGAAAAAAACTGTTTCGAATGTAAGGGTTAAATAGCGCTAGTTGATGTGACGTTGAGGTTTTAACTGGTCCACTTTTTTGAAGCAATCAATCTTCTTTAACAAACTGTCACTCTGAGTTGTTTAAGTTAATATATTTATGTTTAATATAACAAGAAATCCTTGAATTTCTTCTAGCAATTCAACGTGCACTCTCAAACAGTACGCCAAGAGATTGATCTGCTTGATCCAAGCACAACGATGTATCAACTGACTGTATTTTTTCTATTGGCTGCTCTTGGTTGTGCCGTTGTTGCAGGAATGTTATTCTACTCTTGGAATAAGAACAAGGCCATTGACAAGTACGCTCAAGTACCAAGTAAGTCCTTTAGTCACAAGATCAGAGACAGGGGCGGATCCAGGATTTTGTTCAGGGAGGGGTGCTGCGCACAAAGTTAACCCAGGGAGGGGTGCACCCCTTAGAATCAAAGGGGAAAAAACAGTATTGGTTATCTTCGAAGTAGGGACACAAAGTCGAACCAGGGAGGGGTGCGCACCCCCTGCACCCCTCCCCTAGATCTGCCCCTGAGAGAATACTGCCATTGTCATTGAAAAGCGACCCTTTATGTCTCGTTCGCCGACTAGCAGTTAAACGACCGTCAATCACAAATAACTAAAATAAAAATCACAATATCTTGAAGGAGATTTTGGACTGAGTTAAAGATTTTAGAGGATTAAAATCTTTCAGTCTGAAATCTCTCTCAAAATAATCAGTTCTTTGATTGACGGTCGTTAAGATGCTACTCGGCGTCGCGAAAGAGACATCAAACTCCGCGGGTCGCACTTAAAGATAATGGTAGTAATGTGTTTTGAAGCCATGCATAATCAGGCTCTTTGTAAAAAATAAAGCTGATACTGACAAGTAGTAGGACAATTGGTACTAATTAACCTAACAAAAGAAGATTTGCAAAGGATTCTGGTAGTTAAAAAAACATCCCTTCCATCGTAGCTTTCCTTATATCATCATTTATACCTATTCCCTTCCACAATGATGAGCATTGTAATAAGGATACAACACATTTCATTTCATGTAACAAGACCTAAGCCCCGCTGAACAGTACAAAAGAAGCAAGGAGGAAATGCGATTTTTACTGGAAACGTTTTATAGACAAATGTTAAAGATTCACACGGAGCTGAAAGAAAAACACCGAAGACAATGGATAGCGTACGCTAAGCAAAGGAAAGCTAGAAAACATGAGATCGTTTGGTTGTAGGGTAGGGCTTGCTGTATTAGGGACCTTAAGCTGCAGGACGGCAAGGTGGGCGAGAACGTCGGCGAAATTGAGGCGCTTCAACCTTCTATTGTATTATTATTTCGTGTTTACCTAGTATTTTACTCAATAAGCATCCCCGTTTTAAAGTGAAATGACGTCTTTTGGGAGCGGAAAATCAGCAAAGATAAGCTCTTGGCGTAGCCGTTCTCTTTAGTACGTAAAAATAGGACATTTCACGTCTTACTTTCAGCATAAGACGGCAATGATTCACAGTATTTCGTACATTCCAACGAGTATCTATTGAATAGCGCAATTAGTGTTATTGTATGGTTGCCGTCGTCGTCGTCGTTGCCGTCCTGCAGCTTAAGGTCCCTATTAGCTGGGATCGGACGCTTTTTTATAGCTCAATCAGCTGAACGGGAATTATCAGTGAACTTCTCCGCTACCGTGATCGTCTTATAAAAGATTAATGCCCTGCATGCAAGAAGGCCGTTGTAAAACTGGTTACTTAGCAATGACTAGTGCGAGTTTCTAATTGGTTGCTTATAAAAGGCGGGAAACCCAATCTCTTGATGTAAATTACCAAATGCTTTGAAATATACTTAAACTTTTCTAGAGGTGAAATCCTGGTGGTTTCACCATATAACGCCAAAAATACCATATTTGGTAAAATATTTTAGAAATTTTTCATTTTTCAAATTTTCAAAGTAAGTTCTCGAAATCATGTCAAGAGTTTGGGCTACCTGCATTATGACGTAAGATAAGACAAGAAAGACAGACAGATCAATATTAATCAAAGTAGCCCTTTTAGCTTGGGCGTTATACTTTCACATTTCAGACCACGTGTCATTCTCTTTAGAATAAGATTCTTTGTTTGAGTCGTATCCATATTCACTAAAAGGAAACTCTAGGGAATGAGATGAGTGGTCTGTCAAAAGCGTTGTCGGTTTGAACAGGTAAACTCATGGAAGCTAAGACCGAGGGGTATTCTGGGTAGTTGATATCCTTGGCATTCGGATAGTGTTCGGATAGTGTTCGGATAGTGTTCGGAGAGTATTCGGAGAGTGTGACAAAATGCTTGGTAGCTTTAATCAATGTTCAAGAACTGTAAAACTGCAAAAAGGAATTTTTTAACCATCACAGTATGGCAAAACAGTGATAGGAGGCAGGAGCAGATAAATCTGGTTTACATGAGAAAGAATTATTTTTTTCCAAGGAAAAAAGACTATTGTCGTGCCTCCTGTCATGGCTGATGACGCGATATACGCATAATATTATCGTTATTTACATTTACCCAGAACAACTTTCGACCTTGGCTTCGATAATTGAACCTTTCCGAACCGACGACATATTTCAACTTGTTGTATGCAAAAGCTTATTTGGAAACTTATTACACTGGGGCATAAAGAAGATATTCATACGCAATTGAAAAAGTTTTAGGGAGGGGAGGGTAGGTACACTTTTGTCGTTTTGAAAAATTTGTGCGACACGTTGAATAATAAAACGGATTGTTCTGAGCTTTTTAAAAAGATTTCAACATTTTGTATGCAGTGATATTGTTATAAGTGAAAAGACAATAAACTTATAAATATTACATTATGAAATACTTCTTTTTAAAATTTATAAAACACCGCTGTGTTCTGTGACTACAGGCTCATCTATCAAATGCACCAGTTTCGGAAATGATTGCTTCCATCTTCAGTAAATAATGAGTGCTAAACTCGATGGGATGTGATAATTTTTCAAAATGTCGTTGGTTTAGTCTCTGAAAGAGGCCTAGGACAAACACCTTGAAATTTTACCCAACTTTATATAAATATTCGGCACAAAAACAAGACTAACCTTGAATACGAGAGTATAAAAGACGACCCGCGAATGCGTATTGCCTCCAGTGGACAGGCAGGCTATACCCCGGTGTCATATTTAAATATCTCATGCAAAATCGTTAACAAAAATTCAAAAAAAGAACTTAATGAAAAGCTGAAGAAAATTCATCATTTCTTTCCAGAATTCACGAAAAACTAATAACGAGCACGATAAACTTTGTCATGCCTTCGTTCGCGTATCAACTTATTTCCCACAATTCAATGCAGGACGGCAAGGTGGTTTTTAATCTTCCATTGAGCGCCTGGAAGAATTCGTTTTTACTATTCTTCAGTTTCTTCAAATTGCATGAAAATTCGAATGATTCTAACACTACTGTAAAAAATTAACCAGGTGGGCTTCCTGTGGTTAAGCCGTGTCAATGGAAAGCCCGACCAGTTTACTAAACGCGCGGTGATTGGTCAAATATTGATGAGCTGACCAATTACATCGCCTGCAAATCGCTATTGACCTTTATTTTAATTCTATTTTTTAAACCCACCATGTACACCGAATCGAAATATGGCGACCAATTTGAATAACTATTGTTCTGTTCTGACTAGCCTCTCCTAGATGTGGAAACGCATTTATGTTTCCAAGTGAACACGAGGCAAGTCAGACCAGATAGGACAATAGTTATTTAAATTGGTCGCCATATTTCGATTCGGTGTGTTCATAGTAATAGTGCATGCATTAGCGATGTGCAATTTTTATTCTTCCTGACTTGCTTTCCATTCAAAAATATCACTTTGAACTTTTCCCCAGTCTCTTACCTAATGCCTTTCAAGAGAGAGGAGCCTGGAAGAAAGCAAGCCGTAAGATAACGGCCCGGGGACAAAGCATAACCGTCACCAAAGTCCCGTGCAAATACCATCGTGCAGAATCTGTCAATGAAGCTAAGGATTTTTCAAGACCAGACTTTTACGACGTTCACATGAGGCATCACTGAGTTTTGGGGTTTTTTCTGTAGATGCAAAAACAAAAACAAAAAAACAACAGTATTTTTGATGTCTTTCCTTTTCTCTCTAAGGTAACAAATAGGGGAGTTGGTAGGTAAGTAGATCGGTGGTAGGGTAACGTTTTGATTAGTTGGTTGGTTGATTAATACGTAGATGGGTGGGTAGGCTGGTAGTTGGGTAGGTAAGTAGATAGGTAGGTGGTTAGATAAGTGGGTAGGTGGAGTAGATAGAAAGGTAGATTAAATCGGTAGGTAAGGTAAGTTAGTTAAGCTGGTAAGTAGGCCACTTTTCTAGTTACCTTTTTCTCCTGAACAAGTAATCGTCGTAACGCATCGTTGTGATGAGTTCGAAGTTGAGAATTTAAAGCGCAAACATTGGAATAGAATTCTTGGAGATGAGATCTCATTGCTTCAAGTCGTTCTCTATAATCATCAACCAATTCAGAGTCATTTTTATCTAAAGCATAAAAAAACACATATCGATAAAAATATACTCAAATAGGTAAATTCAAATGTCATTCTAGTTGAGAAGGCGTACTAGGTGTTTGCTATACGCTGCTATCTTATTGGAGGGTGGAGAGTGCCTAAGATTTCCCATTTTCCCATGTGGTGCCTAGTCACTTCCTTTAACCTCAAGCCCCCCCCCCCCTCCCCCACCACCACGTGCATCTGACTGTTACAAATGAACTGCCAATGGGAGGGGGTGAATGCGCCCTGAATGCGTCCATGTTGTCAGTACTAATTAGAAACAAACCATAACAACAATCAACTGACCTCTTTTCTTGGTAACAAGCTTGTCATACACAAATCCACACAGGAAAAAAAAGAACAACGTCAGGCCAAGCACAAGGAACGTTGTCCCGAAAATCGAACTGGAGGGGTCGAGAAAGTTGATAGTCTCGGTCTGGACGGTCAGTCGCACGGGCTCCTACGTAAAGAAAAATGATGTAAATCACTCTGTCAGTCTGTCATATTTAGTCACTCAATCAATCATAACGTCCATCGTTCATGACACGGAAAACTTTTACCACTTACACCTATTTCTGGTCGTCGTTCTGAGATCTGCCGAAATCTGAAATCTTATACTCATTAATTATTCATGAGCTCAAGGACCAACCAGAGTTTCTTATTTGTACCACGTGCAATAGTTTGAAACCCCCATCAAATACGACCGCACCAATTTCAAAGTTCTAGTTTTCTTTTAGGTTGGAATATGAAGAATGACCTTAAATTACAAATGTGCTTTTTCATATTTCAGCCAGATAACATAAAAACACAAAAAGTCTCAGATCAGCCTACTCAGTGTCAGGTCTCCGATCGACAACGTTTTTTGAAATAGTTGTATACATGATCAATGTACTATAGTAACAGTTTTCTAACCGTTTCDTTGGCCTCTTCACTCTTGTCGACCATATTTGCAAACTCGACGACTTTCGATACATTGACCGCGCTGTATTCTTTGAAATATCTCTCTAGCTTGGTAGCCTCCTCTTTCAGTAGTACGCCATAAGTGAACGGTTGATTGATGACATTTCTGATCTTGTACCACGTGCCGTTAAATAGATCTAGACGATTCTGTGCGGTGAAGTGATCCACTATCATATTATCCACCTCTCCGGATCTTTGGGCGGTTACCAGCTCTTCAATACTTTGAAAACTCTTAACTGTTATAAAACATTAAAGACTGGTTAGTTCATTATCAGGCATGATTGAATACAGCTTGGGCTGCCTGTGGTTAGATGGCAGAACAATTAAATCCCTTTGTATGTCTGAAAAATTTGCCCGTAAATGGATACTGCTACCAAATAGCGAGTCTTTGTAATAATTAATACTTAACACTAGATAATTTCTATTGTGTTTGGTTGTACTCACCAGTCGCGCGTCCTCGACACACTTCTTCTGCTATCTCAGCATCAGGTGTGAGTGCCACTACACCAACCTATTAAAAAACAGAGAGAGAAAAAAAAAACACTTGAGCGTAAAGAAGCAATTCTCATCTCGATAATATGACTTTGGACTGAAATAGTCTGGCTATTGTGTAAAACCAACTGACCTTTGTTTCTGAGGTGAACCTACCCCTCCCCCCCGATCAAGATGAAATCTTACATCCGCCGCTGGCAAACTAAAGAATGCACAACTTCAACGATACAAACACTTTGAAAATTCCAGGGACCTTCACTGGAACACATGAATATTCTACATAAAATAGGGTTTAACCCCAAACAGCAGGGAATTTAAAAACCGCAGTATTTAAAGGCGCCATTTCTATTTTGATTAGGCATAGAAAGTTAAGAAGTGCCTATGTTAGTAGCCAGTCCTTACCGTTATTCCTTTTTCAATCCCAGTCCCGTACTCTTCTACCACGGTAACGGTGAAGGTAGCACACAATGAACCAATCATGATGGAGGCTATTGATATCCCGACCAGTGACCATATAATAGCAAAAATACGTCCGGCACGGGTTACCGGTACCCGATCMCCGTAACTTAAACAAAGAAAAGCGTACGACTTAAGCATATATGGGGGGGATCAGCTCTTTTCACGCCAGCTCAATGCTGTCATGGTGGTTAAGGACGTTCATGGGCACTGTTCGTGCGTGCGCATCCTTTCTACGCATGAAGTTAGTGAGCGCGCGCTCATCGTGATGACGTCATTCCAATGTTACGTTTTGATAAGCAAAATATTATAAAAACGTCTTTAATCTCTTGTAGCTTTAAAACAAAGTCGGGCACCACCCTTTTTTATTTCGTTTTTCGAAAAGCGGTAATGTCTTACTTTAGAGGAAAAATTAAAAAAATCTGGGTGAACTTCCATGCATTCTGACGGCTAAACGAAGTCGGGGACCCCCATTTTTTATTTGCTTATTTTACTTCCAGGAGGATGTTCTTTCATCGTGCAAAATTCGAAAAAATCTAATGATGGGTTCTTTTGCCCATGAACGTCCTTAACAGCTACCTTAAATTACGTACCCTAGTGTTGTCATGGTGATGAAGGCCCACCACGATCCTTCTCCAATTCCTTTTATTGTGGACACGGTAAATTGTTCGCTGTTGCTGCCACGTTCCTAAGGAAACGAATAAAAGTCGTGCATATAGTTAAATGTATACTACTAATGGATCTGCTTACCTCGAGCGTAATGCTTTTATGTTAAAGACCACGTGTCATTCCCTAGAGTATCATGTCTTTGTTTAATGGTTGCGCATGTGAAGACACGTGAATATGGATACAACTCAAACAAAGAATCTTATTCTCAAGCCAATGACATGTGGTCTGAAATGGGAAAACAATAGACCCCTTGCAGCACTTTGGAATGCAGCTCAATCTGGGGGACAACGCAATAGGTTCCAATCCTCAGGAGATTGGAATTCTTTTGTTTTGTCCCCCAGATCAAGCTGCTTTGACGTCACATGCAAGGGGTCTACACGTCCTAGCTAAAAGGGCTTATTACTCGGAATAGTGAAAAAAATAATTATAAATAATGAAAATCATAATACGACAAAAAATGGCAGTTACTTGTTATACTTACACCTGTTAGAGAAGACCTGCTTACACTTGTGTTTATTCATTTGTTTTTTTCCTTTCTTTCTTTCTTTCTAGCGATTTGTCTGTCTGGGTATCTGTCTGACTCAATCTTTTTTTTCTTCCTTCCTTCCTTCCTTCTTTCTTACCTCTTAACGTGTTGCTACGTGTGGTGGAATCTATTGTTCCATTTAACATGGCTGCGTGAGTAAGTAACTAATTTAGGCCCATAAAAAGATTGACTCACCAGAAGCCAAATAATCGTCCCTGCCAGTAAAGTAGTAACAATATTGATGATGACAACAGGCCATATGTCATATACGGACCCTGCCACGACCCGCGCGTACTTCTCGACTAACGATTCATTGCTACCGATCACCAACAGCCCAGGCACATACAACAGAGGTACATACGTCCCTTCATATTTCAACTCCTTGTTTCTTTGAGTCAGAGGAAAAGAAATGTGGTTATAGGACGTGATGTTCCCCTTCATGGCATTGACATCGTCTTTCATGCTCACTCTGTCGCCATGGTGATCGTTGTAGTAGTCAATCATCGCTGAGCCGTTGTTAAGGTCACAGTACTTGCATGCAGTTCTCATGACATCATTTAGAATCGAAGGAAGAATTCCACTGATTTCATTGCTTTTTAACTTTGTGAATGGCGCATTAACGTACCAGTTTGTGTAGAAGATGTCGGGACAATGGCAGGTTTCTAACGGTTACAAATGCAAGCATGACAAACCAATCTTATGGTTAGAGAATTATTTCTTTTCATAGAGTTAACCCTGTTTATTATGTTGTGTTTTCAACAAGGCTGAAAAAATGAACGCGCACGCGCCAAATTATCCGAAAAAACAAACATGGCGGCCGCTGGAAACTTTCACATTTAAGACGAAAACGTTTTTATCGCCAAGCATAATCGCACAAACATTAGAAAAGTTCTACTCTTAGCATTGGTTAATAGAATGAAATACGAGTTTTTTTAACAATCAACAAAAAAAAGCTTCTGCACTTTAGTAGCTTAATCTGGGCCGTGCAGGTGAGCCCGCGACCTCACAACCGCTGACTCGTTTTTCAGCCCTATCGTGTTTTCCCTATTTGTGTTTGTTATGATTGAGTGTGACACACTCTTTTTTGTGAACGAGACTCTTAGGGGATAAGGAAAAGGGAGGGGATAGGGACTTGGGGAGAGTTGGGGACTAATCCTTTCCCTCCCCTCCCCTCCCCTTTCCCTCCCCTCCTTCCTCTTCCGTGAGAGCCTCGTTCACATAATAAAGAGATATCATCATGTTACTCATCTCCCTCATCCCACCAAATACTCCAAATTCAAATTCTCAGTTTCTCAGGGTTAGCCTCTACTTTGTGTAAAATATTCATGTATGCCAGTGAACATCCGTGGAATTTCAAGTTGTCCGTATTAGCTGTATTACTTTACCTCTGGTATTTGTAAATATATAGACACTGATTCGAGACTAACCCTGAGTAAATGAGTCTGTAATCAAGGAACACAGCGGTAATTCGGAAAGGAGGTTGTTGTACGGTACCCACCAATGATCACAGGATGAGAGAAATTCCCTCTGCCAGACTTGGTTATCACTGCTGCTTGAAAGACATAGGACGTGTATTGAGAAAGCCCGTCTAGGACAATAGTCTGGGTGGTAGCATTGAAGAACCGCGACTTGAACTCTCCCTCTTCCACAGGGATCCCAGAAACAGTTTTTATTTTGTATTGCACTTCGTAATACATTAGAAAACCAGAAGAGACCAATTCATTAAAACCACTGATGTTTAAGTTTACTTGTATAGAAGTTGAGCCTGTCCTTAAAGTCAGCTGCGGAATTACGTTGTCTATAAAAATAGTTTTAAAAATATTAGAATAATCAGTAATAACTTACAAACAAACGGACGGACAACAAGACAGATGCATGGACAGACAGACGGACGGACAGCAAGACAGATGGACAGACAGACCGACGGACAGCAAGACAGATGGACAGACAGACAGCAAGACAGATGGACAGACAGACCGACGGACAACAAGACATGAGGGGAACGTGGGACTGACGTAAGAACGGACAGTAAGACAAATAAATAGATAGCAATAGATATGGACAGAAAGACAGACCACGAAAATCGCTCTAGAATGTTCCACTGACCTGTAGCAAAGGTTCTACTCAAGACACAATCTGATTGGTTGCCTTCACCTGCTGAGTTAAACCCAAGCAGTTGTACACAGTATTCTGTATTCTTGTCCAAGTTCGTTACAAGATATGACTGAACGTCCGGTCCAACATTGATGACCATCTCGGAACTAACACTTCTGCGTACTCTAACACTTCTTAATAGATTTGAATGCAATAGTGTAGTCGTTGGTGGATTTGTAGTAGTCGTTGTTGCTGTCGTTTCCGCTGTTATCGTAGTATAAGGTTTTATAATCAGTGTATAGCCAAGGATGATGCCATTGCGCCTTGCCCAGTAAATAGAACTCCAAGAGACTAGAAGTGAAGTTGCCGTCCTATCAACAATCTGTATTTTTCTAGGAGGCCTACTAGGAACTGAAAATAATAAAATTATAATAATGATATGATAATAAATAATGATAACCACAATAATAATAATAATAATAATATCAGTTTTTTTGCATCTATACGTTTTAGTACAGCACATAATAATAATAATGACAATAAAAATAATAACGACAATAATATTAATAATAATAATAATGACAATAATAACAATAATAATAATAAATTATCATTATTATTTAAGTCTTACCCTCTTCCTTCAACTTTACCATTGAACAATTGCTGAAATTCCCCACTCCAATCTTGTTGAAGACGGCCACTTTGACACAATACAACAGCCCTATATTCAAATACTCTATGACTTTGCTGGTATTGTGTGGACAAGTAAGAGTTAAACTAACTGGGGTATCGATCATTTGTAATGCTTGATTGAATCTGTGGATAGATATGACATAGCCTAGCAGTTTTCCATTACGAGTATTCATAGGGGGAGCTTCCCAACTGATTTCTAGAGAAGTGCTAGTCAAGCTACGACCGACCAAGCTTGTAGGAGATCTTGTTGGTACTGTAGAGTGAGAAAATAGACAATAATTATATTTATGAAATGTGTTTTTGTCACTCGGTACAGATCTATATGTAAAGTATATACTTATTTCAATAGGTTAGTCACCAAAAACCTAGAAAGCTGTGATCGCTGAGAATCATGGGAAATATCTCATATTCAACAAGCAAAGCTTTTGACACAAACTGCAGCAGTTGAGGATGCTCAGAGGAGGTGAACTCGTAACTGGTAGAAGATCTCAAGTCCATCAACAGTTATCAAGCGCTTGAAACATGTAAAATGTGTCTACCCATAATCCTTGCCGGTCTCAGCTTTGTAGCTTTTCAGGTGACTAACTTTATTGAAATAAGTGTATGCTACATCGAGTGTATAAGCAGATTAAAAAATCTGCCTCAGTTGGGTTCTCGCGGGACTTGACCAACTGACCTCTCGTGCCGCGAGACCCCAACTGAGCCAGATTTTTAATTCTGCTTATACACTCGATGTAGCATACACTTTACATATGATAATTATATTGTTCAAACCTTAAAATTATTTTAACATTTTTACTAGGAATCAAGATATATTTAATGGTTTGAGCAGAGTAAGAGGTAGCATAGGTGGCGTGCTTCCCTACCAATGAGAATAAAAAGAGACATGGCCGCTATGTTGGTTGACATGACAAAAAAAAAAAAACACCAAGACCAAAACGTTTGTTAAATTCAATCAAAATGGCGGCTATGACGTCACATTCATCCCAAGAATAGTGTTGGGCTTAGATTATTGCGACGACCCTATATCAAACAAATTGGGAGTAAGGTTTCTTTATCGATTATTTTCGTACCTTCACCCTCCCCCACAGGAACTCGTATAAACTTCACAAATCACTCAAACCCTCAAAAACAATGACTTGTCTTTGACCGTGTGCCCTGCAAAAGATCGGCTTCTCGTGTACGAAACTTACCATCCTCATCGGTCCTTACGTCAACGCATGCGCTGATGTTTCCATCTCCCGCTTTAGTAAATGCCAGGACTTGAACACAGTATGAAGTGTATATCTTAAGTCCTTTGATATCCAGAGAGAATGTATCATTGTTCATAGTCTGTGTCCCATTAGTCTGGTTTAAGGAATCTTTCCAGAATATTCTATACCCGAGGATTACTCCGTTTCGCTGAGAGGCGGGAACTTCACCCCAGGTGACGTTAATCGCAGTTTTATGGCCATGGGCCGTGATTCCCTGTGGACTTTCATCAGGGACTGTGGATTGAAATCATCGCACGGTCACGGGTATGAAGAATGGCGTAGAGTGTACTCCGTCCCCTCCCCCCTCCGGGTCTTGGGCTCGATTCCTGGACGTCATCGAATGTGAGTACCTCCTAATTTAGGGATGAGCCTAGAGGTTTTTTAAGGGTATTGATAAAATTCGAAGGTTACTCTCAAGATTCACCATTCGTAGTAAAATGTATTGAAATTGCATACAGATATTTCAAAAAAGGTTGAATACTGAATACTACATACTGAGTAGTGCATTCCAAGACCAAAGGGCATTGTGGGTATGTTATTTGGAATAAAAAGTAAATATACAGCAATTAACTCTGCATTTAGTTAGTATATTGTTTCAGATGGAATACGCTAAAAATAGAATAAATAATTATTATTAATCCTACTTTAGACAATGTCACTATGACCCACAATGCACTTCGGTCTTGGAATGCACTATATAGTGTGCATTCAATCTTTTTTGAAATAGCTTTAACTGAGAGATCGCTGATATGAGTTGATTGTTGTATGTCGTAGAAACAGAATGTATTGTTAGTAAGGATGTACTCGAATGCCGGCTACGGAGAATCGGCAACCACCAGTGTCATATAACGTCTTATAAAATAGTTCTATTTTTATTGTGGTTTAGGAATATTTTGGCCACTTATCAATTACACAAATAAATAAAAGTGTTTCTGCCCTATACGACCATAACCCCATGCACCAACACACTTAATGAACTCGCTCAAAAGAAAGCGTTTTTCAAGCTAGCGTGTCGAAAAATGGCTTACCTCCCTCCGGTGTTGAGCAGTTCCTCCATTCGCTCCTAACTCCATCGCCAATTCGATTATAAGCGCACATTTGGCACAAATACAAAGTATTAGGTTTCGCAATGAGAGACTTTTTGGTAACGTTGGCTGGAACTTTATATCTCCCAATACGATAATGATTTAATGAAAAACGTTTACGGAAAATCTTATAACCCAGTAGTACGCCATGATGATATTCTTCGGGGAGCGTTTTCCAAACTACTTTCATACTTTTTGCCGAGGTATTAATGGATAACACTTCTGGTGCTCTCGATGGTACTGAAACACAAGTCAAATTGTCATCAGAACCATCCAGCTGATCTGAGAGAAAATGGTAGCCAATCAGAATCGAGAGCATTTACAAAACTGAGGTGTCACTTTTTCTCTTGAAGAATTTCCAAGTCACCAAATGGGGGGGGGGGGGGGGGGGGGGGGACCGTTGCTAATACGAGGCTGATAACAGTAACACAAAAACTAATGATTTTTGTATTTTTATTACGATGGTGGACAGGATTTTATATTTCGCTGGTCAATTTTCGTAGGCTTTATAGACACCTCAGTTTTGCAGTGACGTCATTTCTACGTCACTATTTCAAATCAGCTGGATGTTGCATGGAAATTAGGGGTGGGGTATAGTTAGTGGTGGCACATTCGCCTCTCTCTCCCCTATGGACATTCAGTTCGATTCCTGGACTCGGCATCACATGAGGTTAGATTTCGCTAGCTCTTTCCCTTGACTCTAAAGGTTTTCTTCGGGTTCTTCTGTTTTTCCTCCCTCCACAAAACTAACAAACCAAATTCCAATTGGAGATTTGAGTTTACTCAGACCTGACCAAGATTCCTCCAGAGGTTTTTTCCAGTCCAATTTTGATATAATTGTTGGTTCTTCCCTTAGTTTCTTACGCATAGAGCGTTGCGTGACGACACTAATAACTACTTAGGAGAGAGAGCGTTGCGTGACGACACTAATAGCGGCTGCGTAGGAGACTA